TAATATATATTATATATATATAATATATATATACATATATATATATATTATTCAGAAATACCTAAACGAGCCAGGTCAAACAGAGGTCAGGGAGACATAGACCTTATCTGCTATAATGGTAGGCTACTACCAAGTCGATGATATCCGGTTACGCCACCGTTCTAAAACTAAAACAGAACTAGTAGAAACTCAAACTAAAGAAACTAGAACGATCCATTATCCCCCCTCCCCTAATGTGAATTAAGCGACACTGCCCAAGTTGTTGACTCCTATTATGAGCTGCGGCATCTGTCAATGACACATATGATAACATTGTCTAGCTACACGCTACATTCTACTAGCGCTGACAGGGTTTATGTCCCACAGGGTACTGCCGGAACGTATCCTGGGTAAGGTCCGGTATACCGCAACGTACCCTGGTACTATCTAATATGCCGGACCGTACCTCGCCTACTCCACTAACGAGTCTAGGGAGTCGCCTACGCCTACTCCCTAACCCTAAACCTAACCTTAACCATATCAGATAATTACCAGGGTACGTTCCGGTATACCGGGCCGTACCCAGGGTACGTTCCGGCAGTACCCTGGGGAACATAGACCCTATGAGCTATACTAGCAGTGAAATTTACTACAAACGTTGGCCCTTTCAGAGAAATACCGCGATTGGAGACATTACCGGCACGTAGAACGCCCCCACGCAGCGACACCCAAGCCGCCCATAAAATAGTACACTTAGCCACAAGGCGAGACAAATTTATTATGTCTAGCACGCAAAACAAGTATTACTGAGTGCCTAATATCTTAGAAATGTCGTACCCATGCAGCCAGCCGAGATGTTATAAAACATATAAAGTGCTGCATTGCCGAGTTAATAGAATATTTCGCAAAACCAGTTAGTATAGTTTTGTCAAAAATCGACTTCATTCAATGAGGGAAATTCAGTGATCTAGCTAGATGACATGACAAATGACAATAATCGAGGCAGGGCGGTCCAGCGTCACCAGCTCACCTACCTCAGCATGTTGTCATGGAAACGATTATACGATGCCATAGTGATGAGCGTTCCAAAGCCAGGCCCAAGGGAATAGAATATCTGAACGAACGCCAGCCCCCATACCTAGAACATACAGGTAGAAGCGAATTAAAATTACACGGTACAAGAAGCTCACGGTATGTTCTAGCAATCACGAAACAGGTTGATAGTATTTTGCGTGCGGCAGAACATCCGTTCGTCGTTTAAATACATGCCTCTACGTCAACACCCATCCGTCGTCCGCCCAAGGTTTTGTAGGTCACGTTAATAAGTACTCGCCAAAAGGTAATGCTGGCAATGATCAAAATACGAGGAAGAAAATAATTATTATTGACTTGAGTGGATGCTGGAGGGCTCTAGCACACACAATTCTCGTATCAGCGCGTTTCGGGACTTTTCCATTGTGTCAATTGTCACACTAGTGCGACAGGTTTGGGTCGGGCAAAGCAAATAAACTAAACCCGTATCATGTTGCAATTTGACTAACAAACAAAATACAGTAGACGTAAGTTGCAAGTTAAAAACAACAACTGAAACCCAAACAAACATTCAATTAATAAAACAAAAACGCTACCAAGCAAACAAGCAAACAAATAAGCAAACAAATAAATAAACAAAGTTAAAAACCAAATGTAAATGTACACAGTTCAGCATTATTGTTTGAGGAGTGGTGCATTTCTGGTAGTAATACATGATACGTTTATCAACGACATACAAATGCCGACGATCTAGCTCTCACCTTGAAATCAAGCAGCAGCTCCCACTGCGGAGTCAGGTAATACTTGAGGCCATTTACGGCTCCTGGTAGAGTGGCACTCCTTACTAGCAGTATTCCGAGAAGCACGTAAGGGCACGTAGCAGTAAAATAGACAACCTGTGCAGGCGCAGAAAACCAGACGCACGATTGACGGAAGCTAGTGAATCGCACGGAATATGTTTAAAACGACACCTTTTTTAAACGAAAGTCGTGAATTTATTCATTAACATATCATCGCATGCTTGCAGGCGCGTGTGTGTGCGTGTGTGTGCGCGAGCGCGCGCGTGTATGTGGGTGCGCGTGCGCGCGTGCATATGTTCGTCTGTGTGCGTGTTTGCGCGTCCGTACGCGCGTATTTGTGTTCGTATTTGGACGCGCGCGTGTAGTGTGAGTGTGCGCGCGTATGTGTGCGCTTGCGTGCGCATGTATATGCATGTGTGCGCGCGTGCGTGTGTGCGCGTGCGTGTGTGCGTGCGTGTGTATATGTTCGTACGTGCGCGTCCGCGCGCGTGTGTGCATGCCGCGACGTGTATGTGAAAAAAGTTTAACTCTCTTTCAATACTCTATCGTCCGCGTTTACCTTTCCGATGGATTTGACGCCCCTATGGATACAGATAAAAACGAACACATAGCCGATAAAATGTGCCAACAACAGCTTCCAATGAATGCCGCCAACCACGTGAAGCCCATCAGTGATCTCCAGGATGAAATTGCTGAAAAGAACATGATAGGATTTGCCCGGGGCACGCACGAAAATCTATCCGAGACCGATCTAAAGCCTATATGCCGTAGGCCTACAGGTATCAATAGCACGTCAAACAACGCATTTGATACTCACTACCAAAACTCTTCGCTCGGTGTCGTTGCCTTGGCAATGACGACGTCGCTGACGTTGACCGCGCTGCTGTTGGCCAGAGCGGCCATGACAGTGTCCGCGAACTCTGTGTGGTTCTGCAGTTCGGCAGACATGTTTGTTCCAATGAGAACGTCCACACCACGTCGCACGCACGCGGCAGTGTTCCACGGGTTGCCGCACGTCTCCCACGGCAGCTGCTTCGTGAAGGACATGACGAGGTAGAAGAGGATGTAGGCGATGAGGAGATGGTAGTAGAAGCTCTGCAGGCACGTTATCACCACAGTAGCGACGCCAAGACCTATAGGAAAATATAATATGTTACCATGAATACATGTATACTCTTTGTATATTATAATATAATGTGTATACATATATATAAGTAAATAAATAAATAAATAAATAAATAAATAAATAAATAAATAAATAAATATATATATATATAGAGAGAGAGAGAGAGAGAGAGAGAGAGAGAGAGAGAGAGAGAGAGAGAGAGAGAGAGAGAGAGAAGAAAGGAAGAGAGAGAGAAGAGAGACGACGACGAGAGAGAGAGCGCTGCGAGTAAGAGAGGGGAAAGCGCGCGCGCAAAGAGTGAAAAAGATAGTACACACATGAATATGTTTATTGTCATTGTACATTGAATATGTATATATAGTAATAATATAATTGGGAATCTCTCTATATATAAGACGAATCCAAAAATGTTACCAAGTTAATATGTAGCATGTAATCCTATTACTGGTATTACGCCACACCCTCTCAAAGGCTACTACTCGCTCTAACAATGCTATCCATTACCTTGAATAGCGGGCAGATGTTCCACACGCCAATCGCTCCCCTGCTGCGAGAGAACTGTCGCCATCGCCACCTCCATGAAGAATAAAGGCATTCCGCAGACGAAGAGCGCGATCAGATACGGAACGAGGAAAGCTCCCTATTAAAATGCAACCGATATTAAGACGAGTGTGGTAGAAGGGGCAGGTTATTTTGGGACGCGGGATTGGGAAATCGTAATTATCTGGGAACCGGGAAGTAACCGATGTTTAAAATTCTCCGATATTTATAAGAATCGGGCATATTTTTAATTTGCGAAACTATAGGAATGGTTCCCCACAACCGTTTCCCCTCATAGTAGAAGGATGGAAGGAACGTAACGCTCGCCACGTAAATGCAGCAGATTGCGTTTCATACTTAATAGCGAATTATGACAAACAGTGCGTAACGTAAATTCAAATCTAGTTAGTAACAATTCTGCAGCGAAAAAATGCATGACTGCCACCCGCCTCCGTTCGTGTAGCAGATGTAAGGGAAGCGCCAGGCGTTTACCCAGACCTGATTGCATAGCCAACACAACTGAGAAGAAAGTCTAGTTTTCGCTGTCCAATGATCACGACTCTTGTTCTCTTCGCCTTCCCCGACGATGACTTGGATCGAGATGGTCTTGTATGCTCTCCATCGCGAGTGATACCTTATCAACAGATCTACGCCGGGCAATGAGTAAAATTTTAGGCATACTAACATTTTCTCTCAGACGGTAAAGTAAAAGCAGACTAATTTTCTCAAACGGTGTAAGCAACGCCAATAACTTGTCATAGTTTGTCACTTCGACGTTAACAACGTCAATAGTTTGTTACGTTGTTGCGTAATTAACGGAACAAGGTAACAAACGACAACATAACAATGTAACAATGTTCCAATGTACCAATGTTTACACAACGTAAAGCGTAACAGACGTAACAACGTAACAACGTAACAGACGTAACAACGTAAACGTAACACGTAACAACGTAACACACGTAACACAACGTAAACAACGTAAACAGCGAAAAACAATGTAACAGTGTGTTAATGTAGCAACGTAACACACGTAAAAACGTAACAACGTAACAACGTAAGCAACGTAACAATATAACAGCGAAACAACGTAACAACGTAAAAACGTAACAACGTAACCAACGTAACAACGTAACAACGGAACAACGGTAACAACGGAACAACGTAACAACGGAACAACGTAACAACGTACAACGTAACAACGTAAACAACGTAACAGAGTGTTTAATGTAACCAACGTAACAAACGTGACAACGTAACAAACGTAACAACGTAAAAACGCAACAACGTAACAGGCAAAACAATGTAGCAGTGTGTTAATGTACAACGAAACAACGTAACAAACGTAAAAAACATAACAACGTAAAAAACGTAAAACGTAACAACGTAACAACGGAACAACGGAACAAAGTAACAACGTAAACAACGTAAAAAGCGTAACAACGTAACAACGGAACAACGTAACAACGTAACAATGTAACAATGTAACAACGTAACAACGTAAACAACGTAACAACGTAACAACGTAACAATGTAACAGCGTAACAACGTAACAACGTAACAACGTAACAAGTAACAACGTAACAACGTAACAACGTAACCAATTGTAACAGTGTGTGAATGTTAACAACGTAACAACGTGACAGACGTAAACAACGTAACAACGGTAACCAACGTAAACACGTACAAGGTAACAACGTAACAACGTAACCACGTAACAACGTAAAACGTAACAACGTAACAACGTAACAGCGTAACAACGTAACAACGTAACAATGTAAGCAGTGTTTGTTAATGTAGCAACATAACACACGTCAAAACGTAACAACGTAACAACGTAACAATTATATGCAGCAAAACAACGTAAACACACGTAACAACGTAAAAAAACATACAATCGTACAAACGTAAAAACGTAACAACGTAAGCAAGCGGAACACGGAACAACGTAACAACGTAACAGCGTAACAACGTAACAGTGTAACAACGTAACAAAGTAACAATGTAACAACGTAACAACGTAACAACGTAACAACGTAACAATGTAACAGTGTGTGAATGTAACAACGTAACAACGTAACAATATAACAGCAAAACAACGTAACAACGTAAAAACGCAACAACGTAACAACGTAACAACGTAACAGTGTGTTGATGTAACAACGTAACAACGTAACAACGTAACAACGTAGCAACGTAACAACGTAAAAACGTAACAACGTAACAGCAAAACAATGTAACAGTGTGTTAATGTAACAACGTAACAATATAACAACGAAACAACGTAACAACGTAAAAACGTAACAACGTAACAACGTAACAACGTAACAGCAAAACAACATAAAAACGTAAAAACGTAGCGGAACGTAACAACGTACAATGTAAGCAACATAACAACGTAACACACGTGACAAACGTAACAAGTAACCAGCGCAAAGCAACGTAAGAAAACGTAAATAAGCGTACAATGTGAACCACGTAAGCAACGTAACAGCGTAACAGCGTAACACAACGGTACACAGTGTGTTAAATGTACGCAACGTAACGAAGATCACAATATAACAATGTAGTGGTCAGCTGGCGATCAATATCATTAGTGGTTTAACCATCCTTCTACTAAATGGGGTGGAGCAGCAAGCCGTGTTATGTACAACGTAACAACCGTAACAACGTAAGCAATATAAGCCCGCGAAACAACGTAACAACATAAAAACGTAAGCAACGTAAACAACGTAAGCAACGTGAAAACGTGACAAAACGTGCAGTAACAACGTAACAGCTAACAAGTAACAACGTAAACAGCGTAAACAACGTAACAATCTAACCAACGTAACAACGGTAACAACGTAACAACGTAACAATGTAACAGTGGTGTGAAGTGTAACAAATGTAACAACAGTAACAACGTAACACCACACGTAACAACGTAAACAACGTAAACAACGTAACACTGTCAAGCAGTGTGTTAATGTACCAACGTAACAACGTAAAAAACGTACAACGTAACACGTAACAATATAACGCAAAACAACGTAAACAACGTAAAAACTAACAACGTAACAAACGTAACAACGTAACAACGTAAAACAGTGTGTTGATGTAACAACGTAACAACGTAACAACGTAGCAACGTAACAACGTAAAAACGTAACAACGTAACAGCAAAACAATGTAACAGTGTGTTAAATGTAACAACAGTAACAATAATAACAATGAAACAACGTAACAACGTAACAACGTAACAGGGCAAAACAACATAAAAAACGTAACCAAACGTAACAACGTTACCAACGTTAACAACGTAACACATAACAACGTAAAACAACGTATAACAACGTAACAACGTAAACAACGTAACAGCCGAAACAACGTAAAAACGGTAACAATGGACAGACGTAGCAACGTAACAACGTAATAAACGTAACAACGTAACTAGCAAAACAATGTAACACGTGTGTTAATGTAACAACGTAAGGCAATATAACAACGAAACAACGTAACAAACGTAAAACGTAAACTACCGGTAAGCAACGTAACAACGTAACAGCAAAACAACATAAAAACGTAAAAACTAGGGCAACGTAACAAACGTAACAAACGTAACAACGATAAGCAAGTAACAACGTAACAACGTAACACCGTAACAACGTACACAGCGAAACAACGTAAAAACGTAAAAACGTAACAATGGAACAACGTAACAACGTAACAGCGTAACAACGTAACAGTGTGTTAATGTACCAACGTAACAACATACAAATATAACAATGTAGTGGTCAGTGGCGATCAATCATTAGTGGTTTTATCCATCCTTCTACTAAAGTGTGTAATGTACAACGTAACACGTAAAAACGTAAAAACGTAAAAACGTAACAACGTAACAACGTAACAATCATAACAGCGAAAACAACGTAACATACGTAAAAACGTCAACACGTAACAAGTAACCAGCGTAACAACGTAACAGTGTAAACAACGTAACAGTGTAACAACGTAACAACGTAACAATGTTAACAACCGTTACAATGTAACAGTGTGTGAATGTAACAACGTAAGCAACGTAACAAACGTGAACAACGTAACAACGTAACAACGTAAAACAACGTAACAATGTAACAGTGTGTTTATGTATCAACGTAACAACGTAAAAACGTAACAAGTAAACAACGTAAACAACGTAACAATATAACAGCAAACAAGCAACGAACAATCGTAACAACGTTAAAAACGTAACAACGTAACAACGTAAACACCGTAACAGTGTGTTGATGTAACACCGTAACAACGTTAAAGCAACGTAACAAGTAAAAACGTCTAAAAAACGTAACAACGTAACAGCGAAACAATGTAAACAGTGTGTTAATGTAACAACGTAACAATACTAACAATTGAAACGAACGTAACAACGTAACAAACGTAACAGCAAAACAACATAAAAACGGTAAAAACGTAACAACGTACAACGTA